ACCCTATATCTCGGCCCACTGAACAGTGCAATTGCACATCATTGTCTGATGAAATGATCAATTTCACGAATATTGCAGAGAATGGGAAAGCCACATTTTTGTCATGTACAGGGAGGTTGTCATGAAGGTTGTCTTATTTTCGAACCCAAAATTCATTGAAATACAGGTGAGTAGTGGTGGTGGGGTGTTTGGAAGAATATTTTTGTAAAAATCACCATCACCTCTGAATAGAATCAACTACCGTGTACACAGCCAAGTCAAGTGGTCTGCTGGAGAGAGGCAACATATTTCCTTTGACCTTATAAACTCGAATCTTTCTCCGAGTTGAAGTACTCAATGAGCATTTCAAAGCAAAATGAGCCCTATCAACTCAACAACAGAGGACAACGACGACGAGTCACACAAAGGATCAAAGGATAACAACCAAGCAGTCCAGATATTCGTATATATCTACATAAGCAGCAACCCATAATAAATAACAACACGGGGAGATACTGCAATGTTTCCAGGTTTCAGCAAAAATAAAGTAAATGTTATCTCAATCCATCCACGTTGTTAATTTTCGAATGGACAACAATGCCTCACTCCGACTTGATCTTTGGGCGAGCTTTTGGAGTAATAAATAAGCAAGTTCACCAACCAAGCAACTGAACCAACTCGAGCCTGGGTCGGGCGCTTCGTATAATGTCGTTTGTCATTTGTATGCCATTGTCAATTATAATCCTTGTGGACTGAATTCATTGAGGCATTAGCTGCTCATAATATAATAATATGGCAAGAATGGGAAGCAATAATACGCGAGTTACCTGGTTGTTAGGATTATCCCCTGACAGCCAGGGGTTCCTTTGAACAATGCTGCTACGGTTGGTCGGTGGTGTTGGGAACAATTTAATCCAATCCACAGTGACCCCGAGGAAGTTGCGTTGTATTATTGAGAGAATTATTATTATTGTTATTACTGCTCTTTTGAAACGGGCCATTGTGCAGGTCCAGGCTGGGAGCATTGTGAGCTGAAGGGTAGGCATTATCCCTGCTTAACAAATTGAAAAACGATAGACTGTCCGCTCAAAGGAAAATATATACTTGACTTCGACGAAGGACTCGAATGTGGAGAGTCACACCGGGCCTGTTTGTCGATGAGGGTCCCTTGCTTCCTACGTGGACCACTTACCTAATGTCACATACTTATAAATAATTACTTTCCCGTGGTGCTACCCATACAGCATACAGCATATTTATATTGAGGTACGGATGAGAAGAAGCGACTGCTGGCACATAGTTGACATTTTTACCAAACTACAATTTTCACGTTCGACTCGTTTTCTGTTCACAGTTTCACAGTGATTGAACAGTTTATACCCGCAATGGTGCAAAGGGATCTGTGAACTTACATAGCTCAGCCTAATAGAAAATAATTATTAAATTTTGACAGCTCAACAGAATGTCGCAAGATTTTCGAGGTGAACTCGATGACATTTGACATTATAGGTTGACTGATGTGGAGCTTTATATAAAAAACATTGAATCCGCTATGAAATTAAATTTGACAATGCTAAAATTTTCAAAAATTTTTAGATGCGTAGCAAAATCTATCAAGAAATAACACTTTTCTAAATTTGAGAAGCAAAATGAACGTATGGAATATTTTCTGAACCAAACCTTATTATTGTCCTATTATTCGTATTATATACACATCCATATACATGCACACAATTTTCAGACTTATTTTCCACCTAAAAGTCAAGTGTTTATATTATGCGGTCCTAAAGTTAGTAAAAGTACCAATCAATGTCCAGACTTGGCAGATCGTCACACTAAAGTTGGCTTGATGAACAGAGAATAATCTCTTTTCGCCACGGCCGAGTGGAAATAAAAAAGAACTGCATTTAGTCCACTCGAGTTTAAGGATAAAGTTTCTTGTTGCTTTCTTAAATGAGGGTCTCGAAGGCAAACTTGAAGTGAAGGTGACAAATCTGAGTGGATCTAGAATGCAGACAGATTGACATTCATGGCTGCCCATCTCGTGTACGCTCGATTATGGTAGTCGCTCTTTGGAAGGGTCTCTCGTCCTGTTTGAATCAGATTACTTGGTAGTTTTATTAAACGGAGGAGGATCTCTCTGGTCGGTCCAAAGCAGATTATTCCGACCATGCATGGTCAGGCGCTCTCTCCGCAACATTTTGTTTATGGAAAACACTTGGAATGAAATGTTGACTGAGGTTGAGTGACGTCGAGTTCCTAAAGTTTAAGGTAGTTTCGGGTTTTCGAGGTGTGAGGTTCTGTCTACTTTGTTCGAAATTTGAAATTAGCTTATTACACACTGCCTTCGCCCAATTCATTTCCTGTCTCATTTCACTTTTTCACTCAAAATATTATTTACTAAATTTATGTCTACCACTTGAAACTAGTTGAAACTCACTCCCATTTACTCCCTTGCATATTTCTCAAGCGTTTTCTCAGCTCCATATATAAATATGTAGGTATATACATAGGTTCTCATAATTTTAAGTCCCTATTTTATTGCCTTTGGCAGCCACGGTGCACCTTTTAATTCATGCATTTCATGGAATTTCAAGCAGTTGCTGTTAATTTGAACCCGATCTAGTTGAAATTGGACGTTGGAATTAATGAAGAGCTATGCAGCAAAGAAGTTATGTATTTGGAAGGTGAAAATCTCAATGCTGCTTTTTTACGTGTCTCCATACGATCCATCCATCTGCATCTTTTTGGGAGGAGAGATGTGGAGATGAGAACAAGTTATTATCAAAGGCTGCATGGCTGATGTAGTTTGGTATTAAATTACAACTAGTTAAGGAATATTTATTACTTGCCCGTACTGCTCATCCTTTATGCCTCATTCAAGAAATCAACTCCTTGCAATTTAACCCATTCCTTTGTTTATTTTATTTATTAGCCCTCTCGTATACAATTAAAATGGTCACTTAATTAAACCCAATGAATTCTAATCGGCTGTTGGTTGTCCTTCTCTTAAATTATTATGTCTTGCTTTGATTTCTCTACACTTCTCTACTTTGCACTTACAACTATGTTTTTTTCTAATACTGAATTTGTTTACAGATAGAATTTTCAAGGCATCAATAATGTCGCATAAGTAAATATTTTTTGGGTGTTATTCTAAATTATTATTTGGGACACAATTTTGCTTGCTGTTGAGGCAGCAAATTCCCTGCTATATTTTTGCCCTGCGTCATAAACTAAATTAATCGCGACCTTGGTGAACTCGATTGAATTGCGGATTAAACCATATCTTGACGCCACAGCCTCTTTTAGTGCCACACAAAAAAATAAAATTGTTCCAAAATGTTTAAAATATAAATCTCAGGTATAGTTAGTTAATGGTGATGTAATTTAAGTACAGTAAATATTCAGAGGCTTTGGCACCAAGATGTTTTTTTCTGAGTGGCACCACTATGAATTACAAATTGACATAAAGGGTTGTAATGATGGGGACAGTGTGACTGGAATACTGAATGTTCAATTTGTGTCAGAACATTCTAAACCTTGATCTTGGCTGAATATTTGATAGGCAAACTTGATCATTGATTACTTGGTTAGAGCCCCGACTGCATTTTAAAATTTGATCTATCTCCGTGCCATACGTATACATGTATACGTGTGCATATATATGTATCATACTACTGACTTCTGAATACTGACAACTACACATTGCTCGCATCTTATTATTAGTATCCTTTACGGACGATGATGACTCGACTGTAATGGTCAATGAACATAAATAATAAAATAATAAACAGTGTGTCAAATTCATAATAAAATATCGTATTCCGATCTTGTCTCTTTAGCCCAGCACTAAATGTGAGATGATGTGTGCAGTAAAGTGGTGGTGATGAAAAATATGAGTCCGTAACTACCAGCCGATTAATGGTACGTAACAGAGTACATCGAGTCGAGTCTACAGATTGTTTGACATTTAGTCCATAACGCAATGGAAATGGAATAATGGATGAATACGAAAAAAGAAAAATAAATAAATGGAGACCTTTCCATTTTCGTCCATGATGACGATGAGAGAGTGAACAAGATGATGATCTTCAAATCCCGATGATGGAGTGCGGCTAGAGCTGGTATTTGACGTATCATTTATTTCATTCACTCATTTTAGAGACTCTGAAATTCGGTAGTCGGGTGTCGTTTGACCTTTTCCTTTTTATTCTTTGTTGGTTCAGCTCAATCTAAAATTCCATAACATCATGCAGCTCCTATATTGGGAGGTTGCAGGGTTGATATTTGTTAGTACTTATTGAGTTGATTTGGGAATGAGTCTTGCATAATTAGGTCCAGTTCATCGTCAGACACACAAAAGTCGATATGACGACTAGGCGACGAATGTGCATTGGCACAGAGCCAGGAAAATAATGTATAAATAATAAATGAATAATTGCTTTTAGTGGGTAGATATCGAGGCAGAGAGAATAATCATACGGCATAAAAATGAGGAAAGTGTGATTGAAACTAATTCCTCAAACTTTTACTTCCTTACTGAAATTTCCCTGTAAATGACGCGTAAAGGCATCTGTATACATACATATGTGTATATACATAAGTACGTAAAAGCCCCACAAGAATAACTAATTTTCTGGCATGCCACGCATTCGTTCCCTTTGAAAACGAAGTCTGCTTTGAGAAATTGTACAAAGTTTTTCTTGTTAATAGGTGAAAAGTTTCCAAGCTCATGAAACAAAACGAAAGTCTCAAATTACCAGAAACTCCACTATCAGCTGCTATCTCAACCCACTACCAAGAAAAGACAAAATCTCAAAAACTTCAATGTCTTTGCCACCAGCAACATTTTTACCAAGGGTTTGAGATAAAGAAAAGGTAAAAAAATATTACCAAAATAAGGGGCAGAATTATAACTAGAAACTTTGCGTTCAGTGAAACCACGGCCGCAGTTTATTGATCACCATATTTGATCTTTTAGGTAAATGCTCCAAAAAAGAATTTATGTATGCTCACAATTGTTGTTAATTCCGTAGGTCAGAAGGTTATACAACTTTTTCTTTAGTAGAAAAAACTGGGGTTTTACAAAATTGCATTTTGGTTGGGTTCATATTTCCAATGCAGTCTGTGGTTAGTAAATATATACATGGGTGGTGGTCCTTCATTATCACTTGAACTCCAAGTCTTGGAGAATTGGGTGCATTTGCTTGTGGTTATTTCGAGCCCGATTTTTCCGTTCTGGCTGTCATGCAGTTTATGTGTAGGTACTGGTAGTGAGAATAAAACATTTATTTTGGTTTTGAGTAAAAGTTACTTAACTCTTAACGCGTTGGGTTGCATTATAAGTACTTAAAAGTTGGGACAGAATATGTAAAATAAGACAAGATTGCTTACTGCCTGGCTAAAAAAATTTCCCAGATGGTGGGTGAATTTGATGATGAGGTTGTGTTGAGCGGAGGCATGAGACCTTTGGCATTAGAGAGAAAGAAATAAGAAAGAAGGACTCATCTCCGCGGTTATTATTATCAGCCAGCCAAACCATTTGCTCTAAAAGGATCATGATGATAGTTTAATTGAAATTGTAGATAATAAAGTGTTGCCTGTCCGTGCCGCCAATTGGCTGGCGATTGCGATATACTTGTGTATTTTGGTCTATCTGCCCTCTCGGCTGGTTTCCATCATTGACAAAGGCATTATTAGGACTGAAAGCACAAGCGTTTATCGAATTAGCTCCCTTTTAAAATTCAAACGAAACACTTTAAAATATTTACCCGATTTGGCGTGAAGAAAATTGGAGTCAATGGTGAGACACAAAGCCGACGAGACTGATGATAGAATTACATGTTGATAAAAAGTAAGCCGGGTGTGCATACCTAATAAGAAATAAAGCAATAATACCATTTTCTGGTGCAAGGTCTTCTAAATACTTATATAGGCAGCATAATACATAGGTATGCACTCTGGAATAAGCACGATAGCTTTTCGTCTTATTGATTCCAATTTTTCTTAGATTCCAAATTTTTTCTAGTCAAATATGAAAATGTGGCCGGCATTTGTTCAAACGAGACGAAATCCAAGCTTATCTTAATGCAGCACATTGCCTCAAACACTGCTGTCTAATGTCTGGTGTCAAAACATTTCACCCGTGTAATAATCTCCAACTCGTCGTTGTTCCATACATAGTGCTACAGAGCCAAAGGTTTCAGAGACTGTGGTTATGGGAGTGAGAATCAAGATTAAATTTTTCTTTGAATGATGCGGTGCGTTAAGATTTTTGGAAATGACTAAAAAAATGTAGTAGTTTTGTGTAACTACTTAATACATATGAACTTACCGACTTTGTAATTGTCCTTGTGCTGTTAGCCAACTATAATTATGCAGATATGTACTAAACCTGAAATTTGGAGATTCGCAAATGTAGCAGTCAACTAAACATAAATAGTTTAACCGTGATCCTCAATTGCTCACCAACCAGATTAAATGCATGCAATCAGACAATATTGGCAGATTGATTATGTATGCCCTACATTCATTCAATGTCGGGCATGCATTTAAATATTTAAATTTTTTTGTATGCAGAGGAATTTTGTTCCATACAATCCAAGTTTTATGTTCACGTCTCAAATAGACAGCTCATGCCTGGATATCCTGTGGACCAGTGAGGACTACGATGGTTTGCATGAACAAGTGGTTCCTGTCCTGTTATTATTATTTGGTTTGACTTATTACAACGGGAATTTAGCAATATGTGCTTGTTATTGCAATCTTATCGAGAAAAAACATATTGACTTATTGGGTATGCATACGTATCAGATGTATTTTATGTTTGTATGATATTAATATGTATGTATACGCATATGACTCTGTTGTACGTCTTCCATACAACTTGTGTTCACCTGCCTTGCCGTCCTCACAGAATTTCAAAGGTTAGGATTTGAATATCAAGCAGAGTTGATAAATGAATGGGGGTAAAAAATTGAGCCGGGTGTCGGTTCTCGTTCGGAGGGTGAAAGAGTTGCTGTTGGTGGTGGCGGTGGTGCTGGAAGGGTCGAATGAAAAAGACGCCGACGCCATAATGGCATTCTACGCATAATCGTGTCTAAAAACGAGGAACTGATTTCATTGGACCCATCTCATTCTCATGCACGAACCAAGTGTCGGATCGGATTTGATATACATACGAAATCCTCATCGTCATCCACGTACAACACGGTCAAGTCAAACAAGCTTCCGAGATTGAGTCCATTATGTTTCCAATCAAATCAAATCAAGATTGAAACGCCGCAATGATTAAAGAACAAAAATGATGCAATTGAGATTTCAGCTCTCGAGTCTAATTCATGGCTGGGCACCAACAATACAAAACATGCTCATAATTTGATTAGTTTGGGATTCGCTTTTGCTCTCGTGATTGAATGTCATGAGTATTTAACCTGCATAAACACTGATCTATCCTGCTGATCAGCTATTCTCTGCTGATGCATTTCAATTATAACATGGCATGAAATTATAATACAACGACGACTACCGTTTGCTACTACTCAATTGGTCTAGTGAGTAGCCACTTCTTGAGCAAAATGCTTCCACTCTGCTGTCACCATCACTTACGGTGAAGGATGGAAGAATGACATTGCGTCGTGTTGCATTGTGCTGTCTCCACTCGTCGAAATCTGTCTTATTTCTCGGGTAGCGTCTCCGTTCCACAACAAATATCCTTGCTCCAACCTTTTGTTTTTGTCCAACACGACACGCGTATGCATGTACGTATGCGATAACTAACTCTGCACATATATCCCACGAAAAATGTCATTGTCATTCTCGCATGATTATTTACCTAAAAGGTCTTTCCGTCAGGTCGTAGTTCGAATTTTTTAGAAAGACACGAATATATTTAGAAGCAACTGCTTCTGGGTATTGACATGTCATAGATCATTAAATTTCACTTTCTAGGTAGTTCCATTCCTCATCTATCCATTATCCATATATTTGTTTATTATTTTAAAAAACACCCCGCGGGGTACATAAAACCCTTCCGCTTATCATTTTGTTCTTGACCTTTTCTGATTTTTTGACAAATGTTTTGGAGCTTCCTTTTTCCTCATGAATTGATGTGATGATTAGGACGATGATACAAATAGGATGGGCTCGTGTAGTCAATGCAGAACAGAAAGAAACAGTTGAAAGTTGATTAAAATGAAAGAAAGCACAACTCCATAAAGTATTTAAAAGGTGTTGTGCATGCATATATCTGAGTAACGCAAAAGTGGAATGCAATCACAAGTGACTTTCCGCGCAATATGCAATCATGGTTAAAGGCAGTTAATGGCGAATGCGTGTCTATAAACAAACTTTCGAGTTTAAAAATCTGTAGTCAGCAGAGTGGGGGCCGAGTGGACATGTTAATTGTGTGTGTGAAAAGGCTTTGCAGGTCTCGCATTCATTTCTTTCTCCCATAATCAGGTGGTTGGGAAGAAGTTAACAATTACCCGAGCTGACCATGGTGGTGGTTGTGATTTAAACAAAGAAACATCGTAATAAATATCGTTAATCTCCAAAAAAATTGAGCAGTAAATTCCTTCGAAATTTATGTTCCTGCTTGTTTTGCCAGCTCACGATCAGTCTGCCAGGCTCGTTGACTACTAAAACATTGGACTCGACACTGGACTACAAGTTTCCTTTGCATCTCCTCATGATTAGCTTAGTTAAGAGGTAAATAGTTGACCACTGTGTTCAACCCATGCATGTGCGGGGTATTATTGCACACATTATACTATACTTACCATGCCATATCATATTATAAATTGTGGTGGACAATTTTTATCTGATCTCACATAAGACATTCCGAGTACTTACGCTGTTAATTAAGTTGCATTTGGGAAGTGTAGGTATATGGCTGAGCACTTGTGGAATTCATTTTCGTATTGTTTTATGGTCACTTGAGAATTGCTTGTTTATGTGCTTTTCCTCCATGATTTATTTTTGCATACGAAATTCTTCGGTGGCAGGTGAGACCTTCCACTACCCAGCAGCCAGCACCCATAAGCACATAAAATACAACGGATTTTATTTATTGCAATGTAAAATATTTTCGGAGATGAAATTGATATTTTAATTCAGTTGTGTATTTTTTATCTTAAACTAACCAGACATTTCCTTTGTTGGGCATTAAGCGTCGTCAATACGTAAGTAATATCGAAATTCAAACCACAAATTATTCGTACGATATGTAAATAAAACCTGAAAAGTGGAAAGGTTAAGTAGTTCTTACTCACTTGATCTCACAAAACGAGAGGAAATTGTTGTAATCATTATTGAAAATTATTTCTAAACAGGTCTCATGCACCAATTGGATGTAATAGCGGAGTTTGATATGCAAATTGATGTACAGTTCACTCACTCGTTGTCCAAATACATACATATCATGTACATACGTGCAGTTGCTTACATTGGATTCGTCAAAAATTCTCTCTAGTTGTTTTGATCCACTGCTTTACCACCTGATCATTTTGATGAAGTACATCTTTTCATTATTCAGGGTTTATTACGATTTCTTCAAGTTATGACATTCTACAGGCGCATGTATGTGGTTTCTTTTTAACGAGAAAACCCGAGTTTAATAAGGACACATATTATAATGGTATTTGAGTTTTATGGCTGATCGTCTATTTCTATGCAAATTTTCCGATTAAATCTGTCACTGTTGCCTCACACTGGCGGCCACCTGGCAGTAGCAGCCGATCTATTTGAGCTACTGGAATTTTAATTTTGTTCCACTTCGACTCGTCCATTAAAAGCATCCTGTTTTGGAGGTCCATTCAAAAGTCGAAACGATCTGCATCTTTTACGAACTTTGCTCAATCGACCTACATGAACAACAATGGTATTATAATCAGGAGAAAAGTGACTCTGTCATCATCATCATCTTGACTGCCTCTCACTTCCTGTGACGACGCATGCATAAGAACATAAGAAGGAACTAGAGCATTACAAAAAACCTGGGACTGACCACAACAACAAGAGCGACGACTCTATGTGACTGGAAAAGAACAATCGGAGAGGCTGACGGAGGATGCAGTGACGTGAACTATTTGAGCGAGAGAATGCGAGGAGACAATAACGCATGTGGGATGGAATATGCCTTTATTAGTACGGAGGAAGGGCGTCACATATGAGGCAAGTGCCTCGTAAAAAGGCTATAAGCTTTTGTTGTGTCCTATTTATTATCTTCCTTGTCATTTATTTCCTTCCTTGGACCGTTGATTGGATGGAGATTGGCCTCTATCTCTCTGACACACACTGGGGGTAAATAAATTCCATTTCATAAGTACTGGCATCAATTCTATTAAGGGACCAAATGAGACTGGCCCACGAGGAGTTGGTGGTGGTGGACCTATGATCAATTGCCTGCGACTTTGTTGGTTGGTTTAACCCTTCGTCTTGATTTGATGGTATCTCAAAACAGTCAATGTTGTCCAGTGTCAATGGAGGATCGACTCAATAAGAAGATAATTGTCGAGGAGGCGAGTTCATTACTTTGCTTCACAGAAGACCAGACCTGAGCTCACTCACTCGTGTTCCAGAGCCAATCTAATTGTAAGTGATAAAAAGTATTTGGAGATGGATGTTTTATGAGGTGCACTGCTTGTTACTACATGAGCATGAGCATCACATCCACCCAGAAACACATCAAACAACTTGCTTGGACCACATTTGGAGACAAAAATGCTTTGTCTCATCCTCCTTCACAACTTGTACTTGGTCGCTCAAAAAGGAATGGACAAACTAACCATTTGGAACGCAAATGTGATTGAATGAATGTGGACAAAGATTGATACTTTCTGACATTTCATTCCTTATTATGAACAAGAAAAATTGTAATCTCAACTTTGTCCCTTTATTTGGAAATATATTTTTTTAAGAAAATAAAAAAATCAGTACACTTGCAGAATTTCAGACAATCCCGAGGATTTATTTTAAAAAAATTTTTTTTTCGATTCAAATAAATTTAGGGAATTTCAACCCTTTATTACATATATTTAAGATTAGTTCGTACAATGAGAATTCCAAACACAACTATTCTAAAAAAAACGGAATAATCATCATACAAATGCAGCTATAATTAGGCCATGATTTAAAATATGCCGAAAACTTAGAGATATAATTTCGTATTTCATTCATTCACGAAAAACTGAAAGAAATGGCTTTATATGATAAGGAAATAAGAAGATTCAGCCTAACCTGACACCTAAGTTGTTGACATACCCACGACGCCAGGTAATGGGTTGGGATCCTCCCTGGGGCTGTGGGTATGTCAACGCGTCCCTAACCTTACCGATGCCAAGTGCTAGGAAATGACTGAAAATAAAGAACCTTCCCAACCCGGGTACGCTCGCATTTTTTGAAATTTCTATAGGTTCTTTAAAAGAATTTAGGAAAGATGTGCCAAATGCAACTTAATACAAGAAGTAAAATTACATGCTAATTACAGTTTAGTCTCCCACGGCGGTGGATCTTCTTGGGAGGAGGACTTTACTTGTGTCATCAGGGGTAGGAATTAAACACTGCCTCTGACTCACTCTGCTTCATGACCACGTTATTTAGTACAATGACAAGTCAATAAATAATTCTTAGGAAGAGATTTGTAGAATAATACATGCTTATGTAAGAATATTTTAACTACCTGAAGGTGGGAAATTTTATCAAAATATTATTTTAAATTGAGATTAATGTTTATTCTATTGTTGATCATAGTGTATAGTTTATATTTTTTCCATTTTCGATGGAAACTGTCCATCAAAACTTTCCCACCTCGCATGCAAACATGGAATTCAGACAATATTCGTCCGAAAACCATGTGCCTAAAGTGGGACAAATAATCAAAATTGTCCCCAAAGTGATTTAGAAAGTGAACATAGGACTTATATATCGTGCAAAGACCATAATAAATAAATATATTATCGTACTTCATATTTCGAGACCCATTAATCCCTGATCGAGAGACATTAGTCAGGTCTCTGCTGAGAATTTTTGAAATAAAAAGCCAGAGGGGCTGAAAATGGATACATTTAAAATAATGACTAGATTTTATATCTTTAAATGGACAAAAGGGGCAATCCCTACCCTCATGTATGCCCATTGACTCAGCCATTTTTGGCGTTAGACCAGTATTGTGCAAAAGTTTATAAATTACGTCTTTCTCTGGATTATTTTAAAAAAATGACTGACTTAAAAATCCAGATTTTTGTTCTAACCAACCAAACTTCAACTCGTATAAATCTTTTCAATCAAAGAATAAAATAAAGTCCATCAATGTACAGCTTCCTGAATTCCCCAAATTCCAAACTCACACGCAGTTGATTCAATCAAGGGAAAATTTATGAATGTCTTTAACCTATCTGTGTAAATTCTTGTATCGCCTCGTGTGGTACTTTCTGATTAGTTGATGACCAGTCTACAGAAATGACAAAAATGATTGGGTTGATTGGGTTTAATTGAATCCATTCTTGGCTGGGGTTTAGATGGAGGTGACAAGCCATGTGTTTATGGGCCTGTTAAGTCAGCTTTATTTCAGATTTGATAGAGCTGGTTTATTTTTATTGGGATCCAATGGAATGTCAACCGAGGGGAAGGTGAGCCCTTATTTCCACCTTTCACTCCAGGAATTGATAATATCCATATCAGACAGACCCGCATACCGTGTGGCCCTGCTGTCCCCCTGATTTCCTTTTGGTGGGGTTAGTCATCTTGGGCAGGCTTAATCTCCAATGAAATGTAAGCGTCATTAAAAATGAATGTTCTGCCGATACTGTCCTCCCTGCTTCCGATTTTCCGATAAGCGCAAACTTATCAGCCACCAGTATCAGTATTTATTATGTGCTGCGCTCTGCAGTAAAAATGAAATATTTCAACTTTCTGTTGAGAGTTGGTATTTATGAGAACATTAACCAAAATATTGCGCTGTTATTGTTAGAAAGTTAATTTGCTAAATTATCTTGCGCTGAATTAACCACAATGAATATAATAAGTAACAGATATTTCAAATTCCAAATTAATTGCTTTAGTTTTTTGTATATATGTACATAAATATGTGAAAAGGTTGGGAAATTTATTCCACAGTTAAGGATCAATCCACTCCTCAGCCCCCATTATCTCAGTTCGCATCGCACATTAATCTTTCAGCATTATTCTTATGGTGTCAGCACAACGGGTAATTATCTTATGACGCTGATAACTTTCCAAATTTGAGCTAATTCTGTCTACCAATCTATCCACCCGTCTTCATATTTTACTAACACTTTCATGTACATACGTACGTCGTATATATACACATGAAATAATCGACCAGTGATTAAATCTCATCCAGATTGCTATATATTAACCAAGATTTATGAGTGCATTGATGCACCCTTCAATTTTTTCATGGTTTTGTGATTTCTTTAAAATTGTGGTAAATTTCAAGTAATTTTGAATTCGTAAATTGTTCAACAAATTGCTCTCCATTTATTTAGTTGGACCGCCGACTTTAATAAATACCTGTTTTGAGAATTCTTGAAAATAAAAAGTCGAATTAGGTAATAAAAAAGATGCAGTCAAGTTTATTTTAGTTTTCACGTGAAATTGCTAAAACGTAGCTAATTTCGTTTAATTTCGTACTGGATAAATTCCATCCACTAATATTTCTCCAGTCTATTAACACGTTGTACCTAGAGCTCGTAAAGGGATCCCTACTTTCTGCTATTTTACGGAGATAAAACAAAGCCGTTATTTCACTGTGCACTCCTCAACAGTTTTGGGACCCTCGGATTTTCCCATTGATCTTGGGTAACTTCGGGACCAAGTTTACGTGCCTTGGTTTGTGACTTTAGTGGTTTATGACAAAGCTGTGTCTTATAGGTTATCTTAAAAGCCAAGTTAACCTCTTACACTACGCATGTTTGTGGTTAATTGACCCTTAACAGCAAGTGTAATTGAGCCTGCAGAACTGAACAAGGCTGGATACGTCCTTTCTATTTAACGCCTCATGTAGCACATTAAACCTCCAGCCTCGTAAAAATGTTCATATCCTTTGCGTAATTACTTTCTCTGTGCAGCTCCAAGCACCACCACCTCTTCCGAGGAAGGGCATTAAATAAAACTGCCAAACTAAACTAATTTGTTACTCCCAACCAGTCAGTGTATTACCGAACAATTTCGTTCTTCTTGTGTGTAAACGTTTTTATTACAGCTAATGCCAACACCAACTGGGAGTAAATTAGATTGTTCGAGGGCTAGATTGTGTGCACAACAGTTTTTTTGGGGGTCTTTTCACTGCTGCCCTCCAATCGATGCTATAATTAATATTATTGCTGCGACACAAATTTACAGATATGCTCAATTTGCTTCACAAATGTTAATACTTGAAGTTACACATGTTCTTGGTTCCCTTTTTCCTGTCTCTCCTCCTTCGTAACACTTACATATTTACTTATTTATTATATTGTCGAAACGTACCACATTGTACAAATTCTATTTGTACATACATAAGTCCAATTCTGGACAAGTGTGGGTTTTAAATGTCCCGTGAATATTTACACCGTTTATTTCTGCGTGAATCCAGCTGAGATGAGAAGAAACCAAGTGTGACTTTTATGACCTAAAATTCTAAAAATGAGTGTACATTTAGGACCAGTTAGGTCTCACCCTAACTTGTTTTTACTCTAGATGAAGTTAATACCGAGTCATTTTTGCAATGATTTAGTAACAAATAGACCACACACATTTGACATGTTATATGTGCTGTAAAATATATTTTTACTATTGCTACCTTTGAAACAGGCATTAAAAACAAATACAGAGAAATTATCCGTGCACATCTTGTGATGGACACGCACCTGAACTCTTCAGAGCAGATTGGCCAGCGAATCTTATTTCATTCCTGGTTTTGAACATCACTTTGCGCCAAGGGTGTTGAGAGTAGTTGGCGATAAAGCAAAATGTGAATAAATAAAAGGGTTGGCTTAGTTGAAATAATAATATAGTCCAAAAATGGCGTCAATAATAATAATAATATTCTCAGCTCATTCAATGCGCACAGTTCACTTCATCCTCTATCAAATCAAAATCGAACGGGCTTCCTTTCAGCACTTTCCGTATAATCAGCACAACGTAAAAGGAAAGGGGCTTGCTGACCATTATACGATCGAGCTGATCATTCTTATCAGTTTCATTCAACTCCAATTTTGAACACAATTGCCTGCCTACGTTGTGTTGGTTGGATTTGATTTCAATCTAAACCCAACACCCAGCTCAGGATATTTCAGCATTACTATTCCATCGCTTCTTTTTAAGCCTTTTCTTTCTTTAAACGGAAACACCAATGAACTTTCCAAATATTTTGATACCACAAACAATATCATGTAGTTAGTATTATGCAATCATCCGTAACCTGAAATAAACTGAGTCTACTAAAAAATCTACCGTTTGCCAGCATCATCAACAAAGCTCAATTTGATCAATAATCGTCATAGTTTAGGATGAGTAATGAAATGCAATATTTAACCGTTACTGAGAGCTTGTTGTAAATATAAATCACAAGAAATCGTATATGCAATCAAACGGGTGAAGTAGTTATAAAATAATTGTGGAAATTAGTAGAAAAAACATCGCATTAATTGGATTGGTTTGGGCATCAGTCATAAATACAAGTGTGACAGCCAGTCATGGCAATTGCGTATAATAAGTTGCTTACAGATTTTGTGTTAGATTTCCAACACGAATTCAATTCAATCACCTCGTGCAGTCACTCAACCTAAACGACATGTGACAATTTCCTCGCTCGCTTACTAATAACACAGCGATAATACGATATGGCAATAAAATAGAGTCATTTATTTTAACCTGTATTTTCCTATTCGTTTAAATCTAATTTGGAAAATCATAATGGTCTCCACGCTGTAAATTGCCAAGAAAAGATCATAAGATTTGAGAAGGAGAGGAGCGTTAGCTTGGGACGATTGAACTTGGCATGTCATTTAGCTTTGAGATTTAGAGAAGATGAGAAAATGGGTCGAACATGAACATTTTTCCAGGAGAAGTATATAAATCGAGATAAGAGTTAAAAACTTTTAACCTGTTAACTGTGTAGGTCTTGGATGTTGGGCTGTAAACTGGTAAATGCGATAAGAATTTAATTTGACAGGGAACCCTGATTGAAAAATGGGCTGAGATGATTTCTGGGCAAAGTTTAACATATTGTGTGTGTGTGCACAATCTAGAGGGGAACACGGAAATAACCAACATGTGTACCAACAATAGTTACACGAGTTACCTAATACCTACACTGTCGATACAACCAACACAAGGGACGGGCCCTTGGGCTACATGCAGAAGCAACAACCAGCCCTGCTTCGCCTCAACCACAAAATTATACAACCACTTGTAAAACCATGCATGCATCCCAATCTGAATCCTACACGAAAACATGTTCCCAACAGAAAAAAAACAGTTGTGATAAGTAACAACGACTTTTATTTTGTGTCTCTCTTGTGACGATGAGTGATTCGAGGATGGAGGATGAATAAGGGTACAGAGTCAATCAAACCATCTCCTCTGGTCATTTTTTCAATAAACTGGAATATTCTTCTTACTACTAATAAAAAACCTCCAGCAGAGCCCGAGTCAGTGCAATAAGGTATACAACACCTACACATGTACTTACTTAATTAGGGAGTAAGTATAAATCATATCGAATAAAGACCTTTATGATCGATCACAACTAAAACTCATGAAACTGAATTCATACGACTTCTATGTAATCCTGAGTTTTAGCACGATTCTTCATGTGCACCAAATTTCAAGAAGGTTATACTTATTATCATGGACAGACAGACACGATGGCCACATTCGAGCTGGCCCTGGCAAAAGTTAAGATTTTGTACATAAAGAAATTGAATTGTGCATTCATAAATTGCTTTCATCAAGTGAGTACCGT